TGTATGTGGAGCTGCAGCAAGCGACTAGCATTTATGGTGGCTAACTTATACGCAAAAGAGAGCGAGAAGAGGAGGCAAAGCACGAGCGAGAATCTAAAGGAACAACCTGCGCAAGCATTACTCCAACACTGTGTCCACTTCCCGGACTCCGCCGAGAAGAGGCCATCACGGTAACACACTCAGTTGATTCATTTTAATTAATTAAGGTTCAAGTTATCTACAACCGGACATTAACAAATTCCCATCTGCCCACAACCGCGGTCACGGCTTTCGAAAGTTCAATCCCTGCAGGGGGGTCCCAACTTAGCCCATGACAAGCTCTCACAGTCAACGAAGGAATAGACCTCCTCCCAAGACGTTCCGATCCGACTCGGTATCTCGGTAACTCAAGACACTCCTCCTCTGGGCCGCGGGGGCTCTACGCGGGCCGGGCGGGCCGCGGCGGCGGCGGCGCCCGGCTGCCACGTGGCGCCCTGCGAGTGGCTGCGGGCTGCGGCGGGTGCGATCCGGACGTTGTCCGGCCTGGCCCGGACACGTCCGGCGGCGGCGGGAGAGAATTTTAGGGTTTCGGGGAGAGGAAGAGATCCGAAAATGGAGGGGTGTATATATAGGCATAGAGGGAGCTAGGAGAGTCCAAATGAGGTGCGGTTTTTGGCCACGCGATCGTGATCGAACGCTCTAGGACATGGAGCAGGGTTTGGTGGGTTTTGGGCCAAAATGGAGGGGTGTTGAGCTGCAACACACACGAGGCCTTTTCGGTCCCTCGGTTAACCGTTGGAGTATCAAACGAAGTCCAAATGATACGAAACTTGACAGGCGGTCTACCGGTAGTAACCCAAGGCCGCTTGGCAAGTCTCGGTCCAATCCGGAAATGTTTAAACCCCAAACACGAAAGAAAGCTAGAAATGACCACCAGAGGAGAACGAAGCGCCGGATTGCAAAACGGACAACAGGGAAAATGCTCGGACGCATGAGACGAACACGTATGCAAATGAAATGCACATGATGACATGATATGCAATGCATGACATGCAAGCAATGACAAGGCAACACCAGCGAATAACTGAACGACAGCTGGCACATCGGTCTCGCGGCGTTACAGTAGGACATCATCATAATGTGCACAATGTAATCAAGGAGTTGATCACGGGATGATGTGTTACAGAACGAGTAAAGAGACTTGCCGGTAATGAGATTGAACAAGGTATCGGGATACCGACGATCGAATCTCGGGCAAGTAACGTACCGATGGACAAAGGGAATTGTATACGGGATTGATTGAATCCTTGACATCGTGGTTCATCCGATGAGATCATCGTGGAACATGTGGGAGCCAACATGGGTATCCAGATCCCGCTGTTGGTTATTGACCGGAGAGTTGTCTCAGTCATGTCTGCATGACTCCCGAACCTGTAGGGTCTATACACTTAAGGTTCGATGATGCTAGGGTTATAGGGAAAGTATGTACGCGGTTACCGAATATTGTTCGGAGTCCCGGATGAGATCCCGGACGTCACGAGGAGTTCCGGAATGGTCCGGAGGTAAAGATTGATATATAGGAATTATGGTTTTGGCCACCAGAATTGTTCCGGGCATCACCGGTAGTGTACCGGGACCACCGGAGGGGTCCGGGGGTCCACCAGGTGGGGCCACCAGCCCCGGAGGCCTACATGGGCCAATAGTGGGGAGGGACCAGCCCCTAGGTGGGCTGGGGCGCCTCCCACCAAGGCCCAAGGCGCCTCCAAGAGGGAAAGGGGCAAACCCTAGGGCAGATGGGCCCTAAGGCCCACCCTAGGTGCGCCTCCCCCTCTCCCCCTTGTGGCCGCCACCCTAGATGGGATCTAGGGCTGCCGCACCCCTTGGGGTGGGAACCCTAGGTGGGGGCGCAGTCCTCCCTCTCCCCCTATATATAGTGGAGGCAAAGGGGCAGCCCAACACGCGATTCAATCTCCCTGTTGGCCCAGCCCTACCCCTCTCCCTCCTCGTCTCTCGTAGTGCTTGGCGAAGCCCTGCTGGAGTCCCGCGCTCCTCCACCACCACCACACCATCGTGCTGCTGCTGGATGGAGTCTTCCCCAACCTCTCCTTCTCCCCTTGCTGGATCAAGGCGTAGGAGACGTCACCGGGCTGTACGTGTGTTGAACGCGGAGGTGCCGTGCGTTCGGCACTAGGATCATCGGTGATTTGGATCACGACGAGTACGACTCCATCAACCCCATTCACTTGAATGCTTCCGCTTAGCGATCTACAAGGGTATGTAGATGCACTCTCCTTCCCCTCGTTGCTAGTTTACTCCATAGATTGATCTTGGTGATGTGTAGAAAATTTTGAATTTCTGCTACGTTCCCCAACAAGTATGTGGTCATCGGATGGCCCCATGTGGGTTTTTGACAGCACCGACGACTCCAGTTTGCGGTTTCTGTTGTGTGTGACAGTGAATGTGCACATAGAAGATGACGAGTAGTCTTATTGCTTCTTCGCATCACATATGACATGCTTCTAAGAAGCCTGGCAAGGGGTGTATGTAAGGATGGCAATGGGTCGGGTTTGGATCAGGTTGAACAATACCAAATTCATATCCATATCCATGAAGATAGTCTTTGCCCGCCCATGAAAAAATCCATGGGTGAAAAATTGTGTCCATGTCCAAACCCGATGGATACCCATACCCACTGGATATCCATTGGGTCCTCCGACACATATAAATAAGACATAACACAATATTAACAAACTCTTCCATTCTTCACCTCGTGGCAGGCTAGGTCTCACTTATGGTAAACATCAATTTTTGGTAAATCAACGTCCACTAACAACCTATGATCATTTACTATTTTTCTAATAGATGAGAGTAACGAGTCATTTAATAAAGAGATGAAAATAAGGGAAGGGTCGTTGGAGTATGTTATGGAGGGGATTGAATGTCAACAATAAAAATTACGATGGGGATTGTGCAATTTCTTTTGCATGTTTTAGACAAAAAAAATTGTAAAATTGCAGTGGGGCATGTGACTATGGGGTAGGGATAGCAGATTTTTGCCCTTAAGTCATACTATCGGGTCGGGTTTGGGTATACCCACGGGTACAAGATTATATCCATGCCCTACCCACGAACAATCGGGTCGGGTTTGGGCGCCGCCCATGAAAATAAAAGCATATCCATGTCCATGGATGAAATTGCCATCCTTAGGTGTATGCTGGTGACTTCGGTTGAGGCATTGTCCTTTCTAGGCATTACCTGAAGGTGATTTTTACTGGCGAGTCAAGACTTGGTACCACAGGATACCCCCTCAAGTAGGCTTTTGGCGACATTAACGACTTGCCACAATGGATGGTACCCGACTTCCGACGATGGCAAGTGTGCTTCGCTCGACACATCGTTTACGTGGGCACGTCTATGTTGGGGTTGTGCGAGTGTGTGGCTATCGTCGTGTGGTGATCTGGCTTTGTAGTAGTGACTACTTTTACTCGAAGCGAGGTCAGAACATAGTGTACCTTTTTTATTTGAAGTGAGGCTGACAATATAGAGCGACTTCAGTTTGATGGTTCTCTTCGAGTACATGGTCTCGAGTTCTAAGAATTTTTTTTAGGCCTAACCCTTATTAGTTGTACGTAGCAATGGTCGTGTTTTCCACATCATCCTTTTGTTGCGGGCATTTTTGCACTATAGTTGTATTTATCTCCAAAGTGAAAATGCACAGTCTAGCCATTATTGTTAGATCAGAAGAGGACATCGCTCGCACGTCATTTTCTTTTCGAAGACGTCATTGTTAGAGAATCACTCTCTCATTATGGGCGTCACACTTATGGTTGCTACTGCATGATGTAGATCGCTTTGACATGGCCATCAGAGGTCATATAGTCTGTTTTTCTTTACGTACTTATATATTTTAGAATATTTTGAGTGTGTTCAATCTCCCTGCCTCGACTAGCCTTTAACATTGTGTTTATGTAATACTTTCTCCGTTCATAATTATACGATATTCTAACTTCATTTTAATTCGGATGCATATGAATGTGTTTTAGTGTGTTTTTAAAATTATTTTAGTTCCTATTATGTCCTATATAATTCATATTGAAATATCTAAATTGTCTTATAGTAATTCGGAACGGATTGCAGTAGAAAACATCGAACATCTACTGCTTGATCCCAGGAAATTTGGTAAAAAGCACATTCAAAAGATGGAGGTAAGATACAGAAAGCTTGAACGAAGCAGAGAGGAAGAGAGACGACGGCCCCGGTGATTTCCATTCACCTTTCACTTTCATCTCCGTGTCTGTGTCCATTTTCATCCTTTTACCTCGCACTACGTTCTAAAACCAGAAGCAGCCCTCGAGCCCGTCCACTCACGCCCCCTCATCACACCAGCCTGCGCCACTCCACTTACTACTGGTACGGCGCGACGCCAGGCCAGAGCAGTGTACCACCGCGCCCGAGAGACGTGATGGCGCGCTGGCGCCGCGACGAGTGACGAAGCCGCCGCGATGACGCTGCAGATGGAGCCGCCGCGGCCGCCGCCGCTCAAGTCCGTGGCGACGAGCTGCGACCTGCACCCGGAGGAGACCTTCACCGGCTTCTGCACCGCCTGCCTCCGCGAGCGCCTGGCGGGCCTCGAGGCCTCCGCGGCCGCGGCCGCCGCGCCGGGCCGCAAGTCCACCTCCGCCATCCGCTCCCTCTTCTCCAGGCCCTTCGCCGCGGCGCCGTTGGGCTCCGGCGCCGCCCCGCCGGACCTCCGCCGCTGCAAGTCCTTCTCGTGTGGCGGGCGCGGGGGCGACGCGCTCGCCGCGGACGAGCCGCAGCGCTGGTCGTGCGACGTGCGCGGGCGCAGCACGCTCTGGGCGCTGTTCCACCAGGACGACCGCGAGCGCGTCCGCGACGGCACGGCCTTCGGCGCGTTCCCCGCCTCCTCCTCCGCCGCGGCCGCGGCGCTCCCCGCCGAGTTCCACCAGCTGCCGCCGGCTCGACCGTGCGTCCCAGAGATCTTCTTGGAGGACGAGATCGTCATGGCAGAGAGCTCCGACGAGATAACTCCGGTGGTGGAGCCCGTCTTGGTCGTGGGCACCTCGGGAGATATGGAGAACGAAGCTTATGGGACCGGGGAGGTCAAGGCCATGAAGGATCACATAGATCTTGAATCTTCGCTGCCCAAGAAGCCGCCGCCCATGGACCTGAAGGAGATCGCCGGGAGCTTCCGGCTCGCTGCCTCGGTCTTCAGCAAGAAGTGGCACAAGTGGCGGCGCAAGCAGAAACTCAAGAAGGAGGAGGCAGCCGGCAGCAAGGCAGCGGCCGCGGCAATGCCGCCGTCGGAGAAGCCATCCAACCCCTCGTTCCTTCGGCGGAGCCGCCTTCGTGGGGAAGCGGGCTCGGAGTTCGCCGGAGGCCGTCGTTCGTGCGACACGGACCCAAGATTCTCCCTTGATGCTGGCCGCATGTCTGTCGACGATGTAGGCCTATCCTGGGACGGGCCCCGCGCGTCCTGGGACGGCTACCTCTTCGGCGCCGGCGCCGGCATTGGCCTTGGCCGAGCGCCTCTGCCGCTGTCCCGGCTCCCGCCCATCCTGTCCGCGCTGGAGGACTCACCTGCCGGCGTGGTGGAGCGCTCTGATGGCCAAATTCCTGTGGAAGATGACTCGCAGCCAGAGCCCGACGGCGACGCCAACACCCCTGGCGGCTCGGCGCAGACGCGAGACTACTACATGGACACGTCGAGCAGGAGGCGCCGGAGCCTGGAGCGGTCAAGCTCCGTGCTGAGAAGGTCGTTCGAAGCGCCCGACCCAAAGCCAGCACCCACAGCGGCCGCCATCACCAATGCCACGGCGCCCCCGCTGATCGGCAGCTCGGAGTTCTACCACTTCCACCATGCCGAAGACCTGCTCGACCAAAGGTTCAGCTCCAACTCTGTCATCGAAGACTTCCCCGTGACCCTGGACGCCGCGTTCCCGGGCCCCGCCAAGAAGCCACGGCGGCTCGGCAAGGCGTGGAGCCTGTGGGGCTTCATACACCGCCGGGCCACGGGCCGGCGGAGCGACCCGTCCGACGCCGCGGACCGCGCGTTCTCGGAGCCGTGGCCGGAGCTGCGCGCCCGCGGGTACGGCAACGCCGGGATGCAGAGGTGCAACAGCAACGCCAGCGCGCGCAGCTCCTTCAGCAGCAACAGCGCCGGCCTGGGCAGCTCGCGGCGCTGCTTCGTGGACGGCCACGGCAGCGTGAAGCGGCGGCAGGAAGAGCAGTGCGTGCTGGAGCGGAACCGCAGCGCTCGGTACTCGCCGGGGCAGCACGCGGACAACGGCATGCTGCGGTTCTACCTGACCCCGCTGCGGAGCGCCAGCGGCCGGCGCGGCGCCACCGGGCTGCCGCCCAACGGCGGCCGGCACCTGCGGTCGCAGTCGTTCGCGAGGAGCATGCTCCGGCTGTACTGAGGCGTGGCATCTCGTTTCACCTGACCAGCAGTTCGGCGGCATTCGGGCTGAGTAGGAGTAGTTTCTTTGCAGCAGTGGTTAAGGCTTAGTGGTAGTATGATTAAGGTCTGATTAAGGGCAATGGTATAGTCATAAATCGTTTTATTACATGCTTGTGTAGGTTTGGATGGAATCATGGAATGGAACGAGGTTTATCTCATGTGATGACTTGTTTGTCTCGTGCTGTTCTTCTGCTATTGCTTCTGTCCGTCGTTGCCGTCCAGTGTTCACCTCGGATTTTTGGATGGATGGACAGAAGAACCTGTGGGAAGCTTTGGTGTTCATATGTTGTCACTTTGGTGTCAAAGTCTGGGACTGGGAGGGAGGGGGACCGTGTCTGTCGAATAGTAGCTTTGACATGAACGAGCAGCAGCACGTCGGCGTGACGTGGTGACGCCACGGGGGGAGAAGGTGCGTGCCGCGTTGGGCTCCGCGGCCCCGGTGCCAGCCCGCCACCTGACCGATCGACAGTTGCGGCGGCGGCGGCCGCCTCGTAAGCCGTTAAAGAGGGCGCGCACGCACGTTCCTTTGCCGGTCCCTAGGCGCGCTCTGGGGCTCGCCGTGCCGGCCCGGCCCGGGCCACCCACGCCGCCTGCCCCCGTATCGGCGGGCGGGCGCGCGCCCACGGCCACGAGCCGTGCCGCTGGCGCCCCGGCACGCCGTATTGTATTGCTGCTACTGCCGCTGCTTCATTCATCGCGCCGCGCGCCATGCTGGCCACGCGCACGGGCCGCCGTTTATGCCGATGCTGGTCGGTTGGTTCGGACGCCGCGCACGCGCGCACGGGGCCGATCGGGGGCCGCGGGATTCTGATTTGGCCGACGCCGGCTCGACTTGTTTAGTCGTGATAATGATCAGCGCGGCGCCGGATCTGGATCGACTTGGGATCGCCCTGGGCGCGGGCGTGATCGCGGACATGTGCACGAGGAACCGCAAGGCCAAGGGGGTTGGTTCTTCAATGGGGTTTGCGCGCGGGTGTGGCACAGCTGCGCGGCGTGATGGCATTTTGCTGCTCCCCGACAAGCTCATGTTGTGTACTCCTACTACAGTATTGTTTGCACAAAATATGTTTACGAAATCAGCTTGGCGTGGTACTGGTAACTGTTGACACGCTGGTTAATTAGCATTTCTTCTCTCTTTTTTCTCGAGCGAGTGAAGTGAGCCGTCGGGCCACGTGATGTGGAGCTTGTCTCTCACGCCGGAATGAATGGGCGAGCACATCGAATGTACGTGAGCTGCCGAAGCAGCAGGCCAGGCCTGTACTGATCCAGCTGTTAAGTCGCGCATTCATGGCGCTGCCAGCCGCAGCCCGCAGTGAAGGCGAGCACGCGAAGCCAAGTAGTAGTGCTAGTGGTGGCATGATGATGACGCGAGCCTGCGGCGTCGCCCTTCTCTTCTCGCCAGCGTACCCCGCGCCGTCTGCTGCTCAGCAACGCCTCGCTGCTGCTTCCTTCCTTCCTTTGCAGCGTGTCGTCTGGTTTCGTTCTGGCCGTGCTGCTGCAGCAGCCAGCCGGCGTGTCTCATCTGATGTAGTAACATGTCATCGTGTCAGCTCAGCTCCTCCTCCTACTACTATTTCATGCCGGATGGAACCATCCATCCATCCTCGTAGACCATCAGGGATGCCACGTCTGTGCCTTGCGCTCCAAACACGCATCATGTGCTACAAGCGTACGCTGTATGTATAGGTCTCAAGGCTCTGCATGGGCTGCACGTTCGACTCGGGCTCTGGCCACTGAAACAACAGGAAACCCATCATTACCCTGCCCGGACTGTGCTTTTTTTACCATTTTTTGCAACATATCACCTCGCCCGTCTGCAGACACTGGCTTTGGGTACGATTGCAGTTAAACCCGTAATATGCAGCGGGAATAACAGCCAGACGACGGTACTGCCTCCACCCCGGGGGACAGCGTATACGTGTTCTTCTGAAACTTCAGATACGGAGTACTCAAGATTTGTATCGCATTACTGCGTGTGCCTGAAATTACTTTGCTGTGACGTACCGCCAAGCTCGTCAGTCCATTGTCCATACGAACAGCGGCTTGTACTCGAGCTCGTTCGTCGACGCCATTGATGACCTTGTCGACCACCGGTTGCAGCTTGCAGGCCGTGCCGTCGCTTCCTGTGTACGAGTACGTGCTGGTGATTCGCACACACAAAAAAGAAAGAGTACGTACTGGTGCTCCGTCCGGTGTACGTTCCTTATCACGAAATCCACTGTCGGCAGCTTCAAAACACCGGCTGAAGGGGACCAAGTTGAATGACTATTTGAATTCGCCAACCTTGCCCTGGCCCAAGTTGACCGTGGCTCGCGAAGTTGTTGGCCCATACGGCATACGCTTGCTTGCCTTGTCTTAAAAGAGTGCCCCTTTCCTGCGGCCAAAATCACTATTCTAACCTTGTCAGAAATCTTCAGCACAAAATAACCTCTCCCAGAAACTATTTCACGATCTGACTCTTTTTGAAACGCCAAACCTCGTGGCGTTAGGCTGGTCATAGTGGGAGTAACATAGGTAGTAACATAGATGCCACATAAGCAAAAATGATGATGTGGTAAGTAGTTAATGAGGAGAGAGGTAAATAGAGTAACATAATATGTTACCATCACATAGCGGTTTTCAATGCATAATGAGTCTACAAAGTAATAAATGAAGGCAACTATGTTACCACACCTATGACACTACCCACTATGAAGGTAGTAACATAGACTAGTAACATATGTATGTTACTAGTCTAAGTTACTCCCCACTATGACCAGCCTTATTGTCCAAAGTAGAAACGCCATACTATTCAGCGTTGCAATCGGCCACGTGGCAAGAAAAAACGCCGAAGTAGGCCGCGTTGGTAGAAACGCCATACCTGCTGGCGTTGCTGCTGGACGTGCAAACGCCAAAGTCCTAGGCGTTGCACTCCTGGTCCATTGCTACAACTAGCATCCAGCATGCATGCATGTTACCTCCCCGGCAATGCATGAAATAGTTTGACTCTTCTTTCGATTGATGCATGCATGCTATACATTACTTAGAGCAACTCCAACGCGAACGATAATTTTATTTGTTTTTTATCTGTTTGAGTCGGCCGTCCGCTCGACGTCCATCCTATTTTTTTTATTCGGTGGTGCGTCCAACGCCCTCAACCCATTTCATGTTCTTGAAAGGTCCGCGGCAATAAATCATGCGAGCGTCCATGCCGCGCCCAAAGTTCATGCCGGCACCATGTTAGCGGCCGGCATACAATGCCAGTCTTCAAAAAGAAAACCACCACACAGTTCATGCGGGCGCACTTGTCAGCGGCCGGCGATCGACGCCGCATCCCGCTTGTCCTCCTTCTTGTAGTTGGCCTCCCCCTCGGCCGTGGCTTTTCGCCCTCCCCAACCTCCTCCACGGCTTTCTTTTCCCCATGATCGCTGCTTCCTCCCTTGCGTCCACCGTGTGCCTGCGGCCCTTCCTCTTGGCCGACTCCAAGGCCGGCGTCAACTGCTTCTTCTTCTCACCGCAGTCTTGCGGGGGGCGCGGGGCTTGCCTTTGCCGGAGGGGCGGGGGTGAGGCCGGACGAGGCGAGGGAGGCGAGGCCGCCGGCGGCATCGAGGTCGTCGTCCATGGCTCGCGGCCGGGAGCACAAGCGGGCGGGGTTTTTTGGAAAACTGGAGGTTGTTCGCTTTGCCATCGACTAGCGGGCCAGCGGAAAGAGTAGGCGCGCGCCGTGCACGTTCGCTTCGTGTCCTCGCCGACGCAAATAAGGCTCAAAATTAGGTCGGGAATGAGTCAATAGGCGGACGAAAAGCGGACGCGTGTTTATTTGGATCGGCGTGTTTTCTGTCTGCGGGACACGCGCGAAAGGGTCGATCACATGCATGTTGCATGCAGGTAGGCGTCGTTTTCTGTGTGAAATCAGCAGAGAGCGACATCATTTGTTCTCTAGCACGTGTTTATATATGCATCAAAATCAAAACTCAAAAGTATGGTCACCACTACGATTGGTGTGGCTGGCAGCTGACCACTACGTATAACATGCATGCATCAATCGAAGAAGAGTCAAACTGTTTCATGCATTGCCGGCGAGGTAACATGCATGCATGCTGGATGCGAGTTGTAGCAATGGATCAGGAGTGCAACGCCCAAGACTTTGGCGTTTTCACGTCCAACGGCAACGCCATCAGGTATGGCGTTTTTACCAACGCGGCCTACTTCGGCGTTTCGACTTGCCACGTGGCCGGCTAGCAACGCTGAATAGTACGGCGTTTCTGTTTTGGACAGTAACGCCACGAGGTTTGGCGTTTCAAAAAAGGTCAGATTATGAAATAGTTTTTGGGAGAGGTCATTTTATGCTGAAGATTTCTGACAAGGTTGGAATAGTGATTTCGGCCCTTTCCTGCCGGGACGCATGCATACATGGGATCGGACCCTCCAACATGAAGAAGAGAAGTTATGTAAACTACAATAACCCTGACTTTCCTTCTTCACATCCATAGAATTAAGACTAAAACAATTTGAATTAATTTGCAAGTTACAAATCTACTGTATACATTTACAAAAATTACATACAAATAAAATTATGTTGCAATAAAATTAATTTCAGATTTATTTCCATGAACAGTAATTGTGCGCAGTAATATGTCGCTACAGTGTTTGCTATAGTATTCCTGACTTTCCTTCTTCATTTTGCACTAACTTGCACTGTAGCTTACCTGACTTCTCTCCTCTATGTTAGAGGATCTGTTCCCTGCATACATACATATACTCCCTCCCTCTAGCAATATACTACTCCCTCCCCCTCACAATCCCAGAAGCTCGTCGCCGGCGCCTAAAATAACAATCTTTGGACCTGGGAGAGATCGTAGTGGGTTTTTGGCGAAGGCCGTGGGAGATATCGTGGTGGGAGGAGAGGAGAGGCCAG